CGTGGCTACGTAGTACCAATTTCGTAAATGGATGTACTGGCGGTAGTATACAGCTTTCGACGATCCCATGGGTCCCACGAAAAAGGCCGGGATAGTCTCTCTCAGGCTTCTCTCTGCCATCGAACTGGTCAAATTCCCGTGCGTGTCAGTGTTTGTAGCGTCTTCTGATTAGCTTCCCAGACTCGAATTTTCGAAAATACTCTGTTGCGATTCTCTAAATTATGTCCCTTTGTGAAATTGGTATATCGAATCATTTATAGCGCACACTACAGATTTCCACATTTTATTTTATAATATATAAAATATTCAATTTTTTCGATTTTAAACACAAGCTACAATTTATTTTTAATGATGAATGCTCAACGCATCGCTTTGTACTTCGTGGCTCAATTGTGTCTGTAGATTCGATAATTTGTTTTTTAACGCTGCGATCCCCATCATGACGATATTTTCAGGTTTCAGGGCCCCGCTGCTCTCCACATTAAAGTAATACTTGTTCGGTTTGGCTTCCCAGTTAAACGGTGCTTCATCTGAAACATATGATGTGCTATAAGTATAGCTATAAAAATTTTTGGATTTTTACTAGAACTTATGCTCACATTGATCCTCCTCTAATTCACTGTACTCCGACTTGGGCCACTCGTCTGGTTTGGGATACAAAGTATGCCTCATAGAATTGTCCGGATCATATTCGAAGCTTACACCGGCGGTTGGATTCCACTTTGCGTGCTCCTTTCCGAAACCTTTCTTTGCGTACGCCCTAAGTTTCAGTTCCTGTCCTTTTCTTAGTTTCACTATCAAGATCTCTGAAACGTTCCAAACACAATCATTGTAATTCCTTTACTTCTTTTTACGATAACTATAATTAATTACATGAAAAAGAAGACACCAACCATCTGTTTCTCCATATTCGCTCGCATCATCTTCTCTGTGTCTGGATGTCACGGGTAGCACTCTAGGATCGCTCGACTTGAAATCCGCGGTGGTCACATGCCTGGTTTGATCTTCGGTGCATTTAACATCCAGAGTGAATTCCACGCTACATTCTGGACAGAAATCTAAGCACTGGCAATCTCTTGTATATTGTATCCTGTCAACCACCTAAACAAGGAACATTTTCTCTAATAAACAAGCCATGGTTTACCAGTGCTGTCTCTTTTTAAATCGTTGAAATTTCACATTTTTGTTGAGAAAAATATATTCAATTTTTGACAAAGAGATACTTACATCATCGCTGATCAATGGTATCATTCCAATCCTATGTGCCAAGAATTCGTCGCTCAAAACAGTAGAATTAGCTTCCAGTTGTATCCAATCAATGGCCATAGTCGGAGTTTCGGCGATAAAGACACGCCTCATGCTGTTCGCAACGCTGACGAGGAAACATTAATTGTAAATTTTCATTACAGTTGCGTGTTTCGATACCACAGCTTAACCTAACCTATCTCACCTTAATTCAGTATCTTCCACTTGAAATTTAACATTTTCCTCGGTTAAATCCGAAATATGGACCGACGGTTGATTAGCGTACGGCATTTTATTTTGCCAAGCTTTACAGTTACTTTTTTCCTGTTTACTTACGGGAAAAAAAGGTTATAATAAATTTTAAAACACGTCTCGCGAATAGACGCAAATACGCGCACGGCGCAAGAATGGATAGTAACGACATCTGCATCAGTTTTGAATATATATATTACATCATATATGTGTGTATGTTAAATATATATGCGTTTATGTTTAATTGCTTGTAAAGTAATAATTTTAAAAATAAAATAATTGTTTTCCATATGTGTAAACTACAAAACAAACTCGGAAACGCAGTTTTAAACTTGAAGACATATTTATGCACGAGAATTTTTCTTTAAATAAAGAGAATATGAAATTGTTAAAATATTTTATTACAATTAATCAATGCGTATATTATTTGTCGAAGACTTGTTTTATAAGAATAATGTACACATTCGTTTAATATCATCTACACTGAAATCATCTTAATTTGTCGCAAAATCAAGAAAAAATAGTGCTATATACGATACATACTACATACATATGTAAAATGTTATATATGTGTGTGTGTGTATTACATTATATATATACAGTATAACACATTGATGCAATTCAAACTTAATGACGCACTATATGTAATTACAATGAGAAGTATTACTTTTGTGTGTGTTGCTTTAATATATTTTTCTTCCCACATTCTCTATTATGGCACTCATGTTTGATAAAAAGTGGAAGACGATGGTTCGTACGTTACGAATCGTCGTGAATGTACAAGATGTGTAAATTTCGTTAGTTCTGTATGTGCAATTTGTCGCTTAAAAAAAATTTATTCTAATGACTGGATAGATTAAAGATAAGGCTTGAAAGAGAGATGAAGAAAAAATATTGATAAATATACTGCTCAAAACAATTAGTAGAACATTTCCTCTAATAAATTTATGATCTAGTTCTAGCAAATCTAGTAGTTTTTGAATATATTTTTCATGATTTTGAGGTCCAATAAACACATTTATACAAACATAATATTTTAAGCGTTTTGGATCCAAATGTAGATACTTTATAGAATTCTTTAAAAAAATGGTCTTGTTATTGTCTTGAGCAGTGTATTAAAAATATTTGCAATCATACATATCTCGAATGAGTATTATGAAAGATAACACAGTATTATCAAATCAAACTGATCGCTGATTTTCAGAGCTCATCATTAAAACGTTCGATCTCTTGCAAATGATCACCATAGTCCGTCGCTTCGCTACCTACGAAAGCATCGTGATGATCCAAGATCTCGTCGTAGGATAATCTATTATCGTGATCGTCATCTGAACCCGCAAACAAATGATCCACTTCGTCGTTTGCTATTTCTCTGAAATAAATGTCGACAAAAAGTTATGAAAAAAAGTGACATTGGATTATCATGAAATTTTATGACATTTTACGTATTATAGTGTACTCACTCATTACTTGGGACGAGCCAAGAAAGAATTTCGTCCGCATCGAGTCTGCCGTCTCTATTCTTGTCATGTTCAAAGTCAAATTTGTCCTTTTCACTCAGCAGCCATTCCTTATCTTTTGACTTGGCTCTGTCACCAATAAACTCCTGGAAACTAACGTATCCATCTCCATCTATATCTTTGTCAGCCAAGGCTTGCTTCAACAAGAGTGGAAACATTCTAGGTGTCTCCTCAGGATGTGTATAAGCTTTGAACTCCTCTGCATCTAAATAACCGTCTTGGTTCAAATCGGCAGCCTCGAATGTCTGCTTGTCATCTTGGATCAACTTATCGTCAAGAGCCAGATCTTCGGGATCGCTGCCGTAAGTGTCTTGCAGAATTTCGTCCCAGCTCACTTTACCATCTTCATTCGTATCAGCATCATCCAAGCGATCCTCAGATTCTTCTGCCGACAGCATGCTGTTTACAGAATTTAATCAACCAATGTCTTTCAATAATTGAACAAATAAAAATGACATCAACGATACTACCTAAATGAACGCAAGATCCAAGCTTTTAACTCGTTCCTCTCTATATACTTGTCCTTATTCAGATCCATTTTGGTCAGTAAAATCCCTAGTCGCCTCTTTGATTCTTCTATTGGAAGTCTGTCAAATTCTTCAGCTTCCTTTACGCTTCCTTCACACAAGAGATAAAATATCCAAGATGACTAGTATTCAAACAAAGCAAGTGTATTAGATGACAGTAAAACAGTTCTCGGAGCTTTCAAGCTTCAAGAAGACAAAGCGATAAACGGAACAAGTTACAAATCTTCAATTATTATTCATAAATACTGAGGCAAAATATGAAAGATTCACAAGGATGTCAAGAGAACTCTAAAAGTTGGTCTTGGAAATTGCAACGTATCCAGGCATCTCATTCGCACCTAGGATGGCTTCATGATCGAACTCCTGGTGATGCTCGCCCTCCGTGTAGTGGTCGGCATCCCGGGGGCTGAAAGCACCGTCCTCCGTCCTCTCATTGCTGTCGACTTTGTTGTGCTGATGCGTGTGGATGTGCGCGGAGGCGGTGTCGCCCAAGGCTGGCAGCGATGCGGCGAGAGCGACAAGGAGGAGCAGAGGTCGGGTGAACGGTGGGGCAGCCATCGCGCGTCTTCTGGGAACGGCGGGGCGATTGAAAATAACGTGCCTGCAACGTTTATACGGGCAACGTGAGCGCATAACCTTGTCACGTCGGAGCGAGCTTCAACAGGCGCCGCGCGGCGCGTTTGCCGTGCTTTGCCGGTCGACTGACCGAACTGACGTTATGATGGTGACGTTCGGCACTTCGGCGGCTATCACGGCATCACGGCGGATATTATTGATTACTTTCCATTACGCATGACGCGACGATCGCACGAGGAAAATTTTTACGAGTAGGTACTTCGTGTCCTGACTCCTGAAGACCGTTTTTGAAGCGACGCGACGTCGGGAAATGTACGCGTTGTCTGGGCAGTCTGGGAAATGCGTGTTTGCGATGTTTTTCAGGTTAAAATATGGAAAAAATATTGAAAAAATACTAGATATATATACAATATTCAGTATTTTTTATATTGTATATTTCATATATATTTTAAATAACATATGAAATATACAAAAGTCACGTTAGATTTACTTGTTTCAATTTATTATTCGCAACGTTCTAATGTCTAAAACCTGTGGTTTCTACGAAATAATTTAACAATTAATTACCACTTATTATCAGTGTCTTTTCAATTTATATCAAATGAACGAAAACCTAAAGCCCAAGTCTAACTTGGCAGCACGTTATAAAAGAAAAGCAGAGGAACGTTGCCTCAACGACAACGAAGAAGTAATAAATAAAAAATAATCGAATATTGAAATGACGGTCGTGATTGAAATATAATATACGAGTTCACACCGCGCTTCCGTACCTTTGAATGCGGCGCCACGCTTGCGCAACGACCGGTCGACTCCGATTGCTCTGAATATGTTCCTTTATCGCGCGAAGCCGTTCTCGCCGATCGCTCTGATGTTGTCAACTTTTCGCGGTTTTCGAATTTTACGTTACGAGTCGCGACGCAGCTTCCGTTGTGTGTGGACCGACGCCGCTACGTGCTGACCCGAATCGCTGAGCTGGGTGGAAAATCTTGCCGAGTGCCAGCGCGGAGGCCGCCGAACGTGCCGTTTGCCGTTTTTCGCGCCGAGTCTTCACCCGCGACGGTCGCACGAGAGCGTGTCGTCTCGAATTGTAAGTATTTAACTCGCGTCGCGTACTGAGTGAACCGAGTGACTCTGTCGTGGCGTCGGGTGTCGCGTATGCCGCGGCAACGAAGGGAAGCGATCTCGCGCCGGGCAGTCGCTTCCTTAGTCGTGACGCGTGTGCGAAGTCACGATCGCGTCATCCGGGGGATGAGGCTCGTGCCGAGTGAGTGCCGTTCGAAAATAGTCGGGGCATCGGCTATCGACGTCGCGTATCGTCGCGTCTATTTTCAACCCAGCGAGGGTGCACGCGCGCGCGAGCGCGAACCGGCCAATCCTCTCGAGCGCGTAAAAATCTAAAGTTTCTTTATTTACAGTGCCAGATCGATAAGGGCGATCCAGTTGAACTCTCTCGGCGTGGGCGGACGCGTTCACATCCCGGCATCTTCTCCCTGCGTCTCCTCCAGTTTCGTCATGACGGCCGGCTCGTCGTAGGAGTTATCGGTGAGTGAATTTTCCGTTTCTGTCTTTTCTCAATTTGGGCATAACGGATTGAACGTTGTGCTCGCGATATTGCAATGTCGCGATGCTCAATATATCTGTAAAATAAAGGATATGTTATTTGTAATATCTCGAATCTGTTGGCGACTCGAGCATAAAATTTCCTACTTGCAAAATGGCGGGTTGCGAGAAATTTGAATTCGTGAGAATTGCAAGCTGCGCTGATTCAAATGCGCGCGAGTTGCTTCTGGGATCGTTATTGATTAGCACTGTCGGTAAATGTTACGAAGTGGCGACAGCTTAATTTTTAGTAAGTGTTGGTCGATAAGAAACGTATCTTTTTTCGACTGTCGATAGTTCACCGGTATGCGGTATATCATTGAATATGACGATTTTTTTATATGATAAATTTATAAATTGGAAAATGCTTTTAGTTGGTAACACAAAAAAACGTTCTCGTATATATTTAAAAAATATTACTTCCGTCGTTTAAAATCATTTACTCGTTATAATGAAGAAATATTTTTTTACATTATATTTAAATTATTATAATGAATCGGGATTATTATTATGTAATAAAATTAATCTGTTTCTGCAAAGAAACAGAACGGAAAGAATATATATAAACTTTTAAGTGTATGTATCACATGTAAAACCTTCGTAACTGCATTATTTTTTAATGACAGAGTCTTTGGCTAATTTAGAATTCATTTTCTTTAAAGAAAATGTCGAGGCATCCATTGTTTCTAGGTAATTAACGATCGAAAATAAATAACTTCTGAAGAATTAAACTTTGAAGAAAAATAGATAACAAAATTATATCCTCCATATTATTTTCTGATAAATATTTTATTTTAACAGATTTATTAATGCTGACTTAAAAAAATTGTGATAAATAATGACATTTTCGACCTGCGAAAGAAGGAATCTAAATTGGTTACTTATATATACAAAACGTTTGTTATTAAAATATCATGCGGTGACAGAATATGTGACATTCTATATATTCTATACATATAATTCTATGTATTCTCTGTATAGACATTTTGTATATTCTCTAGTGACATGCTATATATTCTCTATATTATATATAATTTTGCATATATTTTGACATATGACATTATACACAATATATATGTGCAGGTAAGAAATTAATATTAGTAAAATTACACAACCGCGTGCAACGCAAATACGTACCACTTTTTAAATGTAATTTGAATTAATTTCGCGTCGAATCTTGTCACAGCCTTGCTTGCGCATTTACATTATTTTCATCGCATTTCCGCAATATTCCTTTTATTATGTTAATTAAATTCTGAGCGTATTAATCTCTCCCGTATATTTACCGACACGCGAGAACTCGAATACAGCGCGAAATCTGTTAACGGCTATATGATTATTGAAATATGCGTTTAATTTCGCAGAGCATGACGCATTGATATACGATATTTTACGTTTAAATATATATTCCGTGCCAAAAATTCGGAATTGTCGCTATCTTTTGTGTTCATCGGCCAATCGTATGTAAATTATCAAAGGGCGAGCGGTCAGAACTGATTGGCGAGACGGAAATACGGCTGTTTTGCATCAACGTGCCGAATGTAAACGGGCTTCCGGTCTTTTCTGGGGTTCCGTAAAGATCTAGGATCAAAGGAGTTCAGTGTTGTCTCTCTTATCTCGAGGAGATACGGTTCTATTTTAGATTTTATCTCGGAAAATTCTTTCTTGCGTTACTATTCGCTTCGAAGCCCATTAGGTATGATATTAATAATAATAATAATAATAATATTTCATGAAGTATGCACAAATGTGCAGTTAACAGAGGGGCGATTTTTCTTCGATCCGTAATAACTAATAAAATTCGACCAGTTTCGCATCGCGAATATCTCTATTTGCGTAATTTCTCGCGTTTCGTTCCGCCCGAGCGTTCTCGCGATGAGACGGGGATCTACGGCGACGTGCTTGTATGCGGATAGTTTCTCGGCGGGGTAAGAGAGATATCGAGGAAACGCCAATGCGAACGGGCGCGTTGCGGCGTTCCTTCTGACATTCAAATGTTGGCCGCCGCCGAAAAAGGATACGTACGAACCCGACGCCGCCTATTCATCGCTCAAAGGGATCATTTATCAACATATTTGATATGCTCCCCACACCCACCCCCTTTCTAGACCGATATAGCAAAGAGTCGCGAGCGCGTTACTCTCTCTCTCTCTCTCTTTCTCTCTCTCTCTCTATCTCTATCTTTTTCTCTCGTGCGCTTTCTGTTCGCTCTCGGCTTCCATAGAAATAATATGCTAATCGCACGAAGGCGGAGTTTAAAAAGTGCTCCGATAAATTCTCGAGACTTTTGACGTAATTTCGCCCCTTCTCACCGCAGCCGCAACGTCTTCCGAAAGATTCTTTTTGCGCGCGCTTTCCGGCGTCTTGAGAGAACTTTACCTTACCGCGTAACGTGCCCCCGCTATACATATATCATCGGAAGGATATACTTTTGCTCGTAAGAGATCCTCCTAGATCCCTGCATTGCGTCACGTTTAGCGATACTCTTTTTTTCTCGATCAAAATATCTCACCAATAAGTAGAGAGTATAACAGACTACGTCTCTGCAATAAATATTAATCGGTGAAAAATAACAACAACCTGATTTTTAGAAAGCTGGAATTAACTTCATAGTGTGCTGCAATTAGATTGTTTAGTCAAAAACGTTTCTTGTTGGTTTTCTAAAATATTGTACGTTTGCGAGAAATTTGTTTACAGCACACGGAGATTCTTCTCTCTGCAGCTAAAATTTCTCAAGAAAATATATTCGCATAAGTTTGCTTTTCAACTCGAAACGAAAGTATTCGCGGAATAAGTAGGAAAATTGAGTTACACGCCTGATCGGCTAACAAAACCTCGTTGAAAGTCGAAACCTTCCAGTTTTCTGTACGCGATCGTGCTCGTGCGTGCTCGGAACGGCGTAAGTGATTGACGCGGAGCGCTAAGATCATTTACAAATCCCCTCATCGGCACTTATGCGCGCGGTGACGCATACGCACATATTTATGCACCCCTGCCCCTTACATGCCGCGGCCTCATACATACATCGGTCATATTAGCCGCTTTTGCGGTTAGCCTAAACGCCTCGACGTCGACAAGAGGCGTTCGTTTATTTAAAAGCGCTCGTGTTTCATTGAAACTCGAAATTAGTACATCCGACGAAGATTATAATAAAGTAAACATTACTTTATATTCTTTATTATATTTAATATTTCTTGTATTTGTCTCTTTGTTCTCTATTGCCACGAAAACTGACTTGGCCCCCTTCTTAACGCATTTTAACAATCTTTTTATCGTTAATCTCCGAAGTAGTAACAAAAATCTGTCAATTTTGCATCGTCATTGATCGTCATGGATGTTTACGTCGGACTATAATCGTCCGAACGTTTAATTTCGAAGCGCCACGTCAGCGAGAGACACTTTCAAGCATATTGAGACGGAATCCGCGGCCGAGATCACCATTTACTTTAAGCTCTCCTTTCCATATTTATCTCGATCTATTTCATTACGGCCACTTCGGGCGTTCCTTCTTCCGTCTTCTTTTCCGCCGAGTGTCTTTCAGTTAGGATTACGACTCACTCTCCCGGGTGAACGAATGGCCGCACGGTTATTAGGATCACCACCGGCGCAGATTGCTTTTGCGCGAGCCCAGAATTTATGGACGGCGATGATAAAGTCCCATGGAATCATAATCGAATGTCTTTCACGACGATCCCGCTGGAAAG